CTTCCACGGTTTATTTGGAAAAAAAATATATATATATATATTCTTAAGAAGATATTCATATAAAGAAAATGGGAAGATCGCCGTGTTGCGATCAAGACAAGGGCGTGAAGAAAGGGCCGTGGACACCGGAAGAAGATGAATTGCTTACCGTTTGTATCAATAAAAACGGCTATGAGAATTGGCGGTCGCTTCCTAAGCGAGCTGGACTTAACCGTTGCGGCAAGAGCTGTCGGCTCCGGTGGATGAATTATCTCCGGCCTGATATCGTGAGAGGCAACTTCTCTGATGAAGAAGAGAGTACTATCATTAAACTTCATGCCCTTCTTGGTAACAAGTAAGACGTTTTCTTGTTGTTGATTAATATTGCATGTAAAAATGTTTTTGATAGAATCAAATGATATTTAGGCCTCGATGGTTTGTGCTTACATTTATGGGATCTCTACATTTATAGTGTAGATTTTTTTTTTTTCAAATGAACCAAAAACTTGACTAGGTTTTAAAATGATATTTTGTTGATCAAAGGCCATGGTTCATTCGTAATGCATTTTTTTTTATTTTGACACAATAGAATTTACATCTATTGGTATGGGATTCACTTTAAGATTCTCTAACCAGTTTTGAATCAAATTTTGATGTATAGATGGTCGAAGATAGCGGGTCATCTTCCAGGAAGAACCGATAACGAGATCAAAAACTATTGGAACACTCATATGAGGAAGAAGTTGATGCAAATGGGGATTGATCCAATCACACACGAGCCGAGAACCAACAATCTTAGCCCTATCCTCGATGTTTCTCAAATGCTCGCTGCCGCGATCAGCAACGGCCAATTTGGTAACAATAACCTCTTCAACAATAGCACTCCTTTGGAAGATCTTCTCAAACTCCAACTGATCCATAAAATGCTTCAAATCATAACCCCAAAAGCCATACCAAACATCAATTCAGTGAACCCTAAACCGGACTCGGCTATCAATAGCTTCAATACCAATTCAGTGAATCCTAAACCGGAGCCCGCGGCCGCACAATGGAATGCTATTGATCCACATGTTTTCATAAGCCAAGATGCAAATGAGGAATCGTCTGAAAATATTTGGGATGGTTTTGAAGATAACCGGCTTCCTGGTTTGGTTACGGTTTCTCAGGAGAATCTCAATACAGCAAAACCAGGTACCAGTACTACCACCGAGGTATATGTTCAAACCAGAGCTGGTGTGATCCCTGGTTATTATGGTGATCAAATCCTATCTTCTGGTTCGGTATCGGTTTCTCCTGCCATATCTGGTTCGAACCATCCCCGTTCGGCTCTACACTCATCAGGTTCAGCTGTCTTAGAGGACTGGGAGAAGTTCCTTGATGATGAAACAAGTGATTCTTGCTGGAAAAGTTTCTTAGAGTAAGATTGTTTTTCTCCGCATTTATTTTTAATATATGCTATTTATATATACTTTCTGAAATTAAAATATATATTAACGGAGTATTACTATTTAATCTGCAGCTTAACGTCGCCCACATCATCACATCTCCCATGGTAGACCTGTATTTTGTTCAAGTCGTATATACTAATAGTTTTAAATTAAGAATATTCATACACAAAAAATGCTTGATTAATATTATTAATTTTTTTTGTAATAAAATTATTGATTTTAATGTTTGTATTCCTAAAGGAATGTTTGTATTTCTTCTATTTGGTTTTTTTTGAAAAAAAGAGATGTGGGTG